TAAACACTTTCATCGCGAATTTCTTCCATGGTGTACTTTTTCCTCCTTTTAAATTGTTACGCCAGATCTTTCTGACGTCTTGTACTCCAGATGACATCCGGGTTCCGTGCTGCGTGTTCTCCAGGCAATTTTTTTCTCGTTGAAAAGAAAATATAATGAGTATGTTTATTGTTGGAATCATACGACCCAGCAGCTGGAATATACGTGTATTAGTTTTTTGCTTCCGTTTCGTTGATGGAAAAAACTTTTTATACATTTCGGGTTTACACGTGATCAATATAAACATGAAGAGATTTTCACAAATAACATGAAATATTTTACCATTTACAAATAACAATGAAATGTATATGTATACAACATTTGTATTTACACTGATTTCAAACACTTTCCATTCACATGAAGAAGACGAGTCTCTTTCTGTAAAGAAAAGTAAAGTATCAATACCTTCTTAAACTCTGAAAATGTCCAATTTCTCATAAAAGTTGTAGCTATATTTAAGAAATTGATTCCAAAATTTAAATTACACTTTATTGTATTTTCAATTGAACAGACATATGATAAATACATTTTTTAAACTTGTAAATCTATTTGTTGCTTTAACTCTTTTAGTACCTTAGAGCCAATATATCGGCTTTGTGGATTTTCTGAAAAATACCTTGAGCTGATATATCAGTTGTGCATTTTTTATATAATTTAAACACATGTAATGACACTTAATGTTTAGAAAATAAGTTTATACAATGGAACATACATTTACTGGATAGGAATAATAAAATTTAAAAAAAACGTGAAAGTATCTTCATTTTCAAGAGAATTATGTTCATTTTAATGTACATATACCTCCAAAATCACAATTTTGAAAGTATTTTTGGATGGTTTCCGGAAACCTTACAAGATACTATAAAGATTTTTATTTACATTAATTAAAGACACATTCGTGTTACATATATAGTAATTTTGTTTATTCAACACATACTCTCTAAAAAGATATTCACAAGTAGGGATAAAGAAAAGGAAATTAAATCTCCGACACGATGCGTTGTTTTTTTCAATTCGTTTATTATAAATAACAAGATGTATATTCGGTGCGCACGTGTTGTTTAACCTGTATATTTATATGTATACTCAAGCTCCGTCTAAGTTTATTTCGCTTACTGTACTATACCATGTTTACTTTGAGTTTCTTCTCAATAACATATTTCCGCTACAATCTATCTGACGATAACTGCGCGAGGAATCCGGAAAAATTTTGCTTAATAGGCAAAACACTTCACGTTAGCACCCGATGGAAAACGAAAGAAAGGATCGTCATCCTCCCCGCGAGATTGTAGTGGCTTTTAGTGATCGATCGTGTGCATATGGATTTCACTTAAACCCTTCGTAACCATCCAGAGCAAACTGTTCCCGACATCCCTCGTTCGAGCGTTATAGACATTCAATCACCGTTAGCACCTAAAAATTTAATGATTTGAACACGAGAATTCGTGGCCCGAGGCCTACGAACAATTTACGTATATAATTTCGCTTCTCAATCAATAACGAATAAAATTCATAAATTAGCATTAATGATATGCGTTCACCGTGAAAATCTTCAATGGAAAGATCGGATATAGGATCACGATTCGTTTATCGAACGAATATTATTTGTACAACCTGTGTACATACATATATATCGGTTATCACACTTCGCCACGATATGTTCAATCAAATACAATTAATGGGGTCCTGGAGAAAAACGCGCGGTGTATATATACTTTGAACTCGGTGGATTTAATCCGTTTTTGAATGTCTCTATAATGCAGTTCACAAGAGCGATGTGGAAACGAAGGGGTTAACGGTGGTGGTGTGTGTATGTGTGTGTATCAGTGTGGCCCTTAAAAGCTACATCTTCTTTTTTTATTATTATTATTATTATTATTCAGTTTTACTCTTATAGCGCTCACGTTAGCAATGATTAATGCGTGCATTCCTCCGATCCTCCCGAACCGAGCCTCGAACTTTCTAACATCTAAGCAGTCGACTACTATCTGTACTCAATTCGCCATAGTCTAAATAACGCGCCATAAGTATACATCTATAATATATTCGCTCTTTTTTGTTTTTCTTTTTATAAACTCTCTTTTACACGAAACGATTAAACCCTCGTCCCTCGATACGTCCTTTCATTCTGACTTTCGTCGTAGATTTTCGCGCTTGTCGGCCTCCCTTCGATCGTAAATATTATTGTTCTCGTGTCGTCGCATCGATCGAAAAATGGAAATGTATCGTCTACCCCGCACGACGCGCAACAAGTACACGTCATATATGTCGATGGTCAAGTAAAATGCCGTACTAGATCGCCCGAAAACTGTATATATGTACCAAGAGGTTCTACAGGCATCAAATAAACCGGACAAAGATCATTTTCTCCTCTGTCGTGTCTTTCGAAACTCGTAAGATCGTAGAGATTTTTTGGGGACCCAGGAGTCCTGAAACGGAACTGTCGAACAAATGGACACGTGTTTCCATCCGTTCGAAGTGCAGAGATATGTGACAAGTGTACGTACAGAACACGGCTTCGATCGTCGTATGTTGAGGTGGGAAGGGGATGGATGTTTTCAGACGGGTTTCCGTGTAGCGATCGTTAATCTCGCGAATTGCCGCGTGGTTTTCGTTTGTTCAAAAACGGCGCGCGAAAATTGGGGAAAATCCGGGACGCGCGGGAATTATCGGTATAGAAAACTAAAGGCGGCGAAATTGTTTTTTTTTTTTTTTGAAAGCTACGTACGACATCGTGTAGCAGGCACGTCTTATCATATCACGCTAAAGGCTTTAAAGAAGCCCGGTAGAGAACAGTATTGAGGTACCGAACCAGATGCTCCTCCGGTGTTTCATCATGTTTTTTTTTGTCTTGTTCATCTGCCCTCGTTTATTTCTTTTAACGACTATCTACCCATCCTCTCTACTCGTCGCAGGCTCTCTCGGACATTCATTCCTCCATGTTCTCCTTTGCTTCTCGTGCATAAACACACACACACACACTTACACACGCATGCATCCTCCACGTCTAATTAACTCTAAACGCCTCGCGAACTAAGGAAAGGGTGCGAACGGTGCGCGAGCGCAAACAAATGAACCTGCCCGGTTCTTACCCTCGCGAAGGGGAAGAAATAACCAGTGTGCCACCGAGGGACAGGCACGTTCGAGGACGCATTTACGCGCGCGGTGTCCTCGTAACGTGGTGGGCACCTGTTCAACACGTAAGCACATATCACACGTGCAGGCCTAGTTTCTTATCGAGAGAACACGAGCAGGCCGGATCGCCTTTAGGCTTTTTTTTCTTGTATTCGCTGCTTTTTAACTTGTGTGGAACAACGAACAAGCGAGATCATCGAATATACTTTTTCGACGCGTCTAAGGCCGATACCTACCTGGTTGTCTTTCCGTTAACTCTACTTTATCCGCTCGTCGCCATGCGCCCCATATACTCGTTATACGATAACGGTGAAGGGCGACGACGAGAATCGATTTACTCGGGACTTGTTGCTTTTTGTAGGCGACGAGTTATAATTTTTTCGGAAAGACATCGCGACGTTATTATGGGTCGTTACAATGCTCTGAGATTATTCGAAAGCGATATAGGTTCTGGTGAATTTTAAATATTCAAGGAATAACGAATTCTCGCATGCGGTTGTAGTCCACCTCGGTGTAGAAAATGAACAAAAGACGCCGAGAGTGAATAAGATGGAAGAATTTTAACATTTTATCATTATACCTCTGTATTACCAAGGTTTTTCTTGTATCATTGAGTCTATACACGACCTGATACAAACGATTTTTAGTCGAGCATAACCTAAATTTATGTGAAGAAATTTAGAGCAGTGATAATGCGACCGTGATTAGACTCATTTTATCCGAAAAGATGCAACAACCTATTGATAATGCTTTCACGAAGGTATAAGAAGAAATATAGAAGTTTAAAGTCTTAAGTTGTTGGTCTCCACCCAACGAAAGAGGGAGACACCATTAATTATTTGGGGTAAAATGCTTTCAAATAACCGCGGAGAATTGTGTAATGAGTTATATGGCAGCGATGTCTTTCCACGAACGATACCTTCTACTTGTTACGTCTAAAATTCGTTCTCTCGTTTCCTTTATGAACACGGAAAGCATTAGTGCGCGTTTTTCTACGATGCAGTGCTGCCAAACATTGTTCGTCTTATTCGCAACACAGTATTTTTTTTCCCTCACATTCGTCAGTGGTATTCGCTTCGAATCACCGATCGAACGATTCGATCGTCCAGGCATGTCCATATTATCCAACATTGAACCGATTTCATGTACACTCAAAGGCCAGTATTATCTTTCGTTCGTCAACTTTCCCTCTTTCCTTTATATAAGTTTCTCCCTTTCGTTCGTTTTTTGTAAAAGTTGCGTTCATGTGAAACGATGATCTTTCGTTGTCTTCCGACGTTGCACGAGAATCGTAAACTGCGCGAACCGATGAATGCGATGGTTGTTGCATTGAAGATCATTTTTTTGTGTGTCAATTCCACGTTTTCGATCGCGATTTTTGTTATTAAAACGTCCGTCGAAGACGGATGGGGTCAGGGGAACGAGTGTTACGTATTGTTCGTTGAAACGTTTTAAAAAAATACGCTGTTCCGTCTTGAACAAAGATCCCATAAACAACAACAGTAAAAATCTGTCAAGTTATCGCAAAAAGTTGCTGCGCGTTAGCGTTTTAAAAGTGAATCCGCGTGTAATCCGAATTGTACTGAACATGTTTAAAAGTCTCGTAAAAGATATAGATACATCGGTTTCGATCCAACGTTATCCAAATCGATAAAACGCTTCGTGTACTTACAATGAACGATTAAAACTTATGAACTTAATCTAAAAAATAAAAAAAAAAAATCACACACACACAACATATTAAGTAATGAACTAACGGAAAATGTCTTGCATCATCGAAAACAATGGAGTGCTACTTTAAAAGTTATCTAATAAATTAAGGGAGGGGTAACTATTGGGAAGAAAAAGGAATCCTTGAAACTAAAAAGTCGAATAGGATTACCGCTACAAGTTCGAGAGAAGAAAAGGAAACTGAAAAAAATTAGCGCCACGTCGATCGTTGCCCGGACGAAACCTCAGTGAGATATCGACGCGTTGGCTCGACTTGCGTTGTTTTGTCGTTCGAGAACAATCATAATATATGGTAATGGCGAGGGGTCTTCGGAGGGGGATATTTAGCAAACGACTGCCTCCGATATGGGATTCTCGGTGATGTGTATAGTCGCGTTGGGCCGGTCGATTTTCTTAATGCATACGTGGTTCAGTTCTTCGAGGGAAGCCAGCCGGTAGTCAGCCATTTTCAGTGGTGAGAGCGGTGCCACTGCAAAGAAAGATAAAAGAAAATACCAGGTCAGAGGGATCGGCGAATCGGATTCGTTTCTGTCGACCTCGATCTAAGGTTGAACGATTGCGAACACGTATGCACGTTTATGTTCCGTGTCGTACAGATATGATTATTGTAAATAGAAAACGCACGAGAATCTAGAACGTCGGACGGTTCGTTCTATCGTCGAAGTAAGGCGACACGCGGGGAAAAGAAAACATAGAAGACAAAAAAGAAGGCGCGCATGCAAAGTAACAGGTAGAGTTATATGTGGTTAGTGAGATTGTATCATGTGCAAGGCATGTGAAATCCAGCGTAATTTGTTGTTTTGCTATTCTACTGCCCAGTGGGTGCGTGTCTTCGAAAAGTTGCACTTTTTAGATTAGAAATGTTATCTGGAAATATCCCATCATGAGTAAATGCTGCTACAACAAGAGAAATTTAATGACTTTTACTAGAATAGTTGTTTAGAATAGTTTATTTAAAAGTATCGACAAGAATGGAGGCGAACGTAACCACAGACGATATATAAGAATAGACCTAACATCTTAAGGGATTTGGTGTCCTACGAAAATCATGCTGGTTCGATCGCACCTCTACATAAAAGGTTCCGATTTCAGGAACTACGTTCGACACCGGGATAACGCACAGCACACACGTACCCGTGACTGCATATAGCGATATAAGGAAGGGAATACTGAAATGGTACAAGGGCTTCTGACGCCACCGAAACATGAAACAGAAAATTACATTGCATGTAAGGTATATCCTTATAATCTCGTCTGTGAACGTAACTAGCGCTTATATGTAGGTCTCTGATTTATCGTCGATTGGTAAAGCTGTTTCGTACCATCTAGTGATAATAGTAGGACCATGGAAAGTCTCAGCCGATAAAGATTTATCGTGAATGAACCTGGCAAGTATGTAAAGGCGAATGATGTCAAGGAAATTTTAATTAAAATAGTTAACGTAATGTATGAATATGCTATATGCAATTTTGACTGGATTATGAATCCTCTCGCTGCAATTAATTTAGATTAAGTGATTTAGAACACTTTTTAGAGATTCGAGATTATATTTCGTTCTTCGATCAATAATATTATGGAATATTAATGGGATACTGCAAGTAAATTCTATAATTTTCATTTCGTTTTCTCATGTATTTCAATTTCGATTTTGAAAAAAAAAGCGAACGTTATTTGAATTACCGACGAGTGAGTTACATTTTGCAGTTAAATATTTGTAATTGCAGGGTGAGTCATTAGAGCTCAGCATTTCAAGCAAATACTGACGGTGCACATATATTTTCCCAATTTGAGAAGGTAATACATATACTTTTTTGTATTATAAAAGAGTAAAATAAGGAATATTATAATTTTGTAATTTTTGCTATTATTTAATAATTGTATAATTTTATAATTAATGTATAAACAAGTATTTAATGATCTATAAAATTATGGTGATACTGTGATTGAATTTTAATATTTACGACGTATAATTGTAATTTTAATAAGTATGCATAATTATAAAGAAAATATTTGACGATCAATATGCTTTTTCAACACGAATGTTAAGATTCAAGGTCAGAACATTATAGATTATTAAATATACCCCCGTAGAAACCCTAATATTATGACATATCAAGCGTAAAGTTTTGATGATATGAAATCACATTGATTTTAGTTTTAAAAAATATATTTTCAGCTGAAATGTTTTAGCATACATAATTTCGATGTAATGAAACTAATAATGAAAATCAGTACCAATATCGGGGTTCCGTATTAAATATTATTAAAACTAACTTATTTTATTTTTGCAACTATTAGAAAATTAACTTTGATTAAAAAGACTGATAACGATTACTAGTAATCAAGACCAATTTACTCTTTTTAATTTTTATAACTGTGTCATGCGCAGGTTATCTGTATTTTATGCACTTATTAACATACTAATTACCAATTTACATTCTTCCTGTATAATTTACAGAAACTGGAATTGAATAAAAATATACTTCATGAAGAATTTTATTAAATGAAAAGTAAAATAAAGATGTTGTGATAGTATACTAAATACTATTCTTACAGTCACTTTTTCACATTAGTAAATATTATAAATATAAGCACTTCTTGAATAAATTTGTTTGTTTCTGAAATCTCATATTAAGTATTTATATCGAAAATTATATCACACAATATTCATGTTAGTAAATTTTTGAATACAAATATTTCAAATGTTAAAGCACCGTTTTCTCCCGATCCACCAATTATAATCTAAAATTTCTAAATACACGAATCCACTTGTTCATAAAAACAAACAACAGCGAGAGGGTATGGTAATTTTAAAATGGATCTGAATGGTTCATGAAGTATTCCGAGGGGATAAACCCAGAACATTCAAAGATCGAAAGTGTTAGTAATGTGAAAAGGAGCAGTAGTTGCCTTTTATTAATCCTTGGGGGACTATAACCCGGAGGTTGTCCAAGGCATGTTAGTCGTAATAGAGATCATCGTCGGTTAGTAGCTCCCGATAAGAGTTTGAATTCCGACTTACTTAACACATAGACGTGGCCTAACTGACCAACTGCGCGCTTGACTCCTTTGCGGCCTTCAATTCCTAATTACAATTACCTTCGGGTGTTGTCGGCGTCACGGGCTTCCGCGAGGATTTCACCACTAAAACGCATAAAAAAACAAATTCTCTTTAAAGACTCCAAGCACAAAGTCGTCATGTCGTGGCGGACGTTCTTTAATGTAACAAATTTCATCGAAAAATCATTCTGGTGCGATGCATCGTTAGGCGAACCGTCGTGTATCAAGTACGATTAAAGAAAAGTTAAAGCAACGACCGTCGTTCATGCATAATATTGTTTTACATACCACAAAACGGGTAATGATTTTATTATCGAATGACATGGACGAAACTGCTGCTGACAGTAATTCGCAAATTACGACTGTAATAGGCATGCATTTTATAAAAGTAATTTTGATCCAGGAACTCGGACGTTCAAACAGCAGAAACGTAAACCGGAAGTCATCTAACACTTAGAAATAAATTTCTAACACTACGGTTCGTTCGAGCCTAAACTACAGAAACTCGATGTTTGATAGTAATTGAAAAGCAAACAGAACACCTAAGAAGCCAAAACTATTGACTACTCCAGTCTGATAGGCTATTAGTAATGTATACGTACCACTCGATCGATCCGAGACGCGTGGGAAATAAAGGCGCAAGTCGGTGAACATGTATTTTCGTATAATTCTTATTTGTCTTCAGATGATAATCGTACTTTCTTTTCAAACAAAAAGCTTTCAAGTAAATGACGATGGTGGTGAGACTAAAGTGATGAATTCAACGTAATCCTTTTTTCAAACCTCTTTTTATTTATCAAGTCGAATCAGTGGCTTCCCGTTCAAGGAAAGTACATGATCGAAGATGTTGTCAAGTCTCGACGTAACCAAGAATCCGCGCGAATGGATCGTGTGATTGGATCGAACGATCCAAAATATTATCGGAGAAAAAAAAACTTCCCAATCATTTCAAGACCAAAGGTACATCGTACGCGACAAAATCTCAACGTGCATCGAGGATTAACAACACCTAGGGCGTCGCGCCATTCGTATAACATGAAAACTCTATTCATATAACAGAGACGGTTGTAACAACAATTAATTTAACAATAGTTACCACGGATAGGAACGATTAAGTTAAATAGAACAACACGGGCGTACTTGGCTACCATACGCAGGATATCTACCACGTAAATAATAAAATTCATTGTCATATGCGTGTCGATGAAGAGAATCAGACCAAGATCAACAATATGAGACGAATAGACTTGCTTCGACGATAATGACTCTATGCCCGCGACAGATACACGCATTTTCTGCTTTATCAACTGGGCGATAGTGGTTAAGCGTTGTGTCATGTGATAAGTGCTATCGTGTTTTCTGTGACCAAGAAGCCAAAAAAGAATCAAATAAACTTCAATTATAGTCGCTGGACCGACGTTAATTAGCGAAACGATACCACTCCCCGTTCGCCCCCGTATTATGTTTGTTTGTACGAGAAGCGGTCCCCGAACGTTCAGCGTGTAAAGAACAAATAATAACAGGGATGATCACGGTGTGTGTATGTACTTCGAGAGACACGGGCGAGAAACAACGCCTGAACGCCAAAGAAACGGCAGCTGTGTGGTATTTTATCGAAGCATCGAGTCGCTTCTGTTCGAGGGCCGGGGAATGATGAAAAACGTTTTTACGCGCTACGACTAAATGCAGCTTGAACCGAGCTTCTCGAAGCTTACAGCCGGAGCCGACTAGCGGGTCCGAAGGCAAAATGGTTGACGTCACTTAATTTACAAGCGTGACTTCGTTTATATTCGATTCGCAATCCAACTGATCCGGAAACGTTCCCGACGAAGAATTAAACCCGGCAGACGATACTTTCGTTTCGCGTGATTAAACACACCTGGGCGTTGATTCAAGTTCATAGGCCAAATATACACGGAATACTCGTAAAACGCAGCAGTCGATGAAACGAACTTAAGCCTACGGATATTCATGATCTACGACACTTGCTTCTGTTTATTTTCTTTCGTTTCTTCGTATCGTCCTGTTAGGAGAGCACGTGAACGTTCCCGCGTTCGCTATTGGTAATTAACGTTTCACAATAACAACGAGTTAAGTGCGTTCTAGAAGGATTTATATTATGAAGTTCTTGAACGAACGGTGAAGTAATGTAAATTGTAAACGTGAACGAGTCGCTAAAACTTGATAGTAATTGGAGTAGTGTTGTTTTCTTTATTTATCTTGGTTGTGTGGTGATCACGTGCTCTTCTACGTGACAGCATGGCGCGATCCGTTTATACCGGTGACGATCGATGGGAGTAATCATTTGTTAATCCGATAATTAATGGCTATAGTGTGAATCGCAAGGCCGCTCACTTACCATATCCCTCGCCCTGCAGAAACAGTCGGAAAGCCTCGCTTACTTTGCCTGGTTGCTCCTCCAGCACCATTCCGCAATCAGAAATCTGCGAATTGAAAACAATCGAGTCAGCACTCTGGCAACTATGAATTCTCTAATCTATATCTAAGGTCCAACATTTTTAAAAATTCTTTCCTTTATTACAATAATCCTGCACAGAAAATATTATACTTCTAGAAATTGTAATATATTTTATATGATTTATCAATACTAAAGCAAACGTGACAGTAAATAATCATTTTCAGAGACTACATCACAAGGGTCCAAATAAAAAAGATTGATTAAGTTATCAATTAAAATGAAGACTTCATTGATTTTCATTAAAGTTTCATTTCGTTGTATTTTACATTAATGCAGAAACCTAGAAATCTACTTGTCACACGTGGTTTGATAGCAGAAGATCCTATTTGACTTTCATAGTAGGGAAGTGATCTTGGACAGTTAATTGAGGTTTATGTGACCATACTAAAGAACTGAATAAGGCTAACTTGCATTATCTAGAAATTATGAGACCTTCACTGGTGAGAAAAAAGTGAGCAATCTATTTACAGAACTTTCAAGAAAATTGTCAACGTGATTATAGACAATAATAGATACGATACTATGGTCATTTCATTAGCTGGAAGTTTAATTCTTATTTACTTGCTTTCTCATTGTAAGTAAAATCGAAAAGAGGTTTGTCTACTGTTTTCTAGTCCCACCGTATGATGGGTATGACATTGTATCTATAGGAAGATCCGTACATGGCGATTATAGGCTGGAAATATTTTAGATATACTGTATATAAAACGGTAACGATAGACTGAATGAGTAAGCCCAGTGGGATCATGAACAACCTCTTTTTGTAGTTCCGGCCCATCAGAGGTTCTAGGACTCATGATCGTCTTAAACGTCGAAACTTTTCAGCTGGTGTAAAAAAAATCTAATTCAAAAGAGAGATGCTTGAAGCAGTAGACAAAATAGCAATTTCTTATTATCAAAATATTTTGTATTGATTATCAAACTCAAATCTCAAATAAACTTCTGTTTATGGCCTCGCTAGCTTTACCATGTCACTGTATGAATGATATACATGTTGCACGTTCCCCTTCCTCTAAATATAAAGCGAACGAGAACGGTTTGTATTAGGCAGGCATCATAGAGCGCAGGAGTAGGTACCCTACAATTGGTACTATACTAAACGGAAAGAATAGGGGAATCAGCCTAAATGTAGGCTATGCTACAAATGAGGACAATCTCTAGAGTAGCCAAGAGTAGTCTAGAGCTTGGTTTGGATATTGCTACACCGTTACCGCTACGTAAACATGCAGCAGTTGAGGCCTGGGATTAATATTGCCCAACTATTTCGTACCTTCATCCAAGAGCTGTTCGTCGGGTCTAATCGACCGTTTAACGTCACGGTGTCGTCGACATGCGGGCTCAGTGCTCCGGTGATATTTATGACAGGCACGCCAAGCGTCAAACCCTCCTTTTTACGTATCGGGTCTAATTCCCTCGTGATATTGAGATCCGTGCGGCGCACGTAGCTGTCGATGAATAGCGCCAAGTTCGTTGGATTCACGTGACGCTCGAAGTAGTTCTTGTACACTTGAACCAGGTCGTGATTCCTCTCCTCTGTGCCCTGAAACGTATTTTCCAATCAGTGTTTCAGGCTTCACCGATTCGTTCCGGGTGATCGAGAAAAAAAAGAAGTGTCGAGTAATTCAAAGGCACATCACCGTTCACCGAAAGAAACTCCTGTTCAGTGAACCAACATGCCTGTAAATTAATCCCGAAAGAAACATACGTCCATAATTGTACCGTGGCTAGATGAACCTGTTTTTTTTTTCAATTCTCACTTTTATAGATTAATTTCGAAAAGACGCAGAAGATTGTATAGAAGCTGTTTTTTTGTTCACAATTTTGTTGAATTAAATATCAAAATGTATGGTTTCGTCCATGGCGAGGGTTCAGTTTTTCGAGTAAGCCGCACTCGAAGAGTTAAATGTTCCCTGTGAATTGAAGTTTAAAAATAGCGGCAGGATTCGAAATTTCATAACCCAGCAGAATTTTTCCCTTACAACCGACAAAATTCCACCGACTCAGGTATATCTGCAGTTTCATGGTCCGATTGCTCCAGGTAACGGACCAGGGCAAAAACACCCGTCGAGGCCTATCATTAGGCCCTGGTCGGCGAGAAGATTAAACAGGGAACACGGGAGAAGGGTTCGAGGGTACGGTTCTTATTCGCGTTCATGAAATTGCGCGGTGCCTGTTGTCGAATGATGTTTACACCGTCCGGTCAAGCAACGTGTGCTTTTATTTTTCTACGGTATGTATGCGGTAACGCTAGTAAGAAGCTACGTGTTGCATAATAAGAGCAGCTAGAATTGCTGCTAATTCCCTGAATCCAATTTTCCAGGTTGCATAGAGATGACACTCGACGGTGTAAGCCTTCGTCAGACCCGGCCACCGGTTACGCCGTCGACAACTTATTGGTCTACGTTTCCGTGTAAATGTTAACTTAGCCTAACCAACCATGATGAGGACTTTATAGGTCACCTGGGGTTGTTGCCTACTTATTTGCATATGAGACTACTTTTAGTATGCGTTGTGATCGGTGTCGTCCTTTTGTTCAATTAATTTTCATGACGATACCACAATGTATACAAAAAAAAAAAGAATGATTTTGAGTGATATGATTTTATGGCTTGTGAACTAGTCTTTGTGATAATCGTGATAACTTAAGACTTACAAGAATGGTAAGTTGGAATTGTTTATTCTGCTTCGTAATATGTCGCTTAAACGCAATCATCTGTAATTACAAAATTAATGTTTTCAAACATTGTTAGATGATTTATAGGCACTAATTTCTAACAGAACATTGATTATTACTAGACTGCGGATATTTACGGAAACGAATGTTTTTTTATGGTTGAATTTACTAAAATGAAAGTTAAATTGATACCTAAAATAGCACAAAAGTATATGTTAATAGTTTTCACCAATTTCTCTGCTTCACAATGCTTTCTTTTTCAGTTAGATATGTATGTATAAAACTCCGTAGTCTAACAATTACTGATGCTGAAGAATAATAAGCATATGTATCGGTATCTAAATCTATATTACAAAGTGTGTAATAGTAACTGCTATAAGCAAAGAGCAAGTGATTCTACATCCGAGTAGAAAATGTAGGGCAACAACTTTTTCATGTGAGACTATAAATTAACGAAAAAAAAACATTGAATTTGGAAACGTCGCAACGGAAACGATATCGACTATCTAGCACCCATATAATGTGATCTTACGTATTCAAGACTGAACAGACTTGATATAAGCAATTCAACAGTCACTTTTCAAAGTCTAGACCTTTCAGAATTCAAAAGATCACTTATCAGCGCATTCTATCAACCAAAATTCGAAACACATTTAGAAATCTGACGTATATTCTTCAAAGTACATGAGAAATAAAATGATTTGAGTATATTCAAAGGTTTGCTAGAACCCGTGAAGTCTCGAAGGTCTCCGTGGATTTAAAATTCGTCGTCAAAGCTGCCAGAAATTCACCATGTCGCGATGAATTCAGAAGTAGTTGGATCTTGAAGTGTCATGGAGAATATGTATAGAGAATCTCAAAAGTTTGAAGATTCAAAGAATTATTCCGTCTTCTCAGATTACAGTGGACGTTTATGCAAGTTTCGGAAAAAAAGGAAATTAAGGAAACTAAGAAAAATCTGTCACCCTTCAAGGGACTTATCGAGTTATAAATAAAATTAAAATACTGTTAGCCCTCTCGCTCGACTATAACCAACATCCGTGACCTATTAAATACAGGGTTTAAAATAACGAAGTAATGTTATTTAAAATAAATATTGTTCTTATGTAAATTCCGTGTTATATCTATGCTTGGAAAGTTGTACTTTTAATATCAGCCTGTATTGTCGTATTGCATAATCGTTATTTGGTTGACCCATAGCGAGAGCATGAATTTTCGTTAAAATTAATGTTTCCAGTGTTTCACACATGCTATAAATGTACAAAATCCACAGTCTGGTTATTTATACCGAGTTTATGACGACTAGATGGTCGATATGTTTCAGTCTGTCATTTCCAGGTGTATCAAATCGGATGAGAATGATTTTGCGGAACGTTCGTGACGTCCTGTGTATCAAATCTGTTCGAGTACTAGATAGTATGTATGTATTCTCTCGGGGATTATCGGAACTATCGAAACTATTGAAACTATCGATGTCGCGTATCGAATCCCGTGAAGATGATCTTAGATCGCGCGGTACCTTGGTTATCGGTGCCAAGTCTACTGCAACCGTGCTACTGGAAGTTTCTAGCTCAATGGCGTCGGTATTGAATCCAATGAATATGGTACGAACAATACCGCGTACAGTGATACCTACGGCAGCGATATTGAATTTATTGTATCCTATTGTGCGACAACTTGAGGTCCGATCGTTCTAGGGATAAGTTCAGGCACGTGAAATTGTACTGGAGAATTCCTATAGTTATATCGTTAGTAAAGACGGTAAAATAAATATAGCATAGAGTATTCGAGTACTAGCTTCTTTCGATATAATATTACTGCTAAATTCGTATAGTGTGTATATGTATACATGGTGTTTGGAAAATCACTGCCTATTGCACTTTCTTTTAAATCTATTTCGATTTTCTTAGATTCGATTAAACAGAAATATAGTCAGATCGAAGTAATAGCTTACAAAAAGTATTACAACTTTCTCCGTCTTCCACCCCTATCACTATCAACCAAACACTTTTTAATATCCTAATATCACTATTAAGATCCACTCCACTTTCCCTAACTTTCTCAGTTTCAGGATCTTTTACACATTTACTTTTAACTATTCACATGTTATAATATAAAATATAGATATTGTATAATATAACACATAATTTTAATTTGTTTGTTATCAAACTGTTAAAACTTAATGAACAACGTGTAAAATATCAGTAGTCTCTGTTACTTCTTATCACTTTCCTAACAATGGTGCCTTATATAATTTTTATAATAATATTAGTAATAATAGTAGGTAATACGTCTCGAATACATTTGGTATTGCTACATAGAACACATAAAAAAAGGAAAGATGAAAATTAAAAAGCAAAGAAACCAAATAATATCATTACAGTTGCAATATAAGTAATGCTCCGAACAAGTGTAAAGAACGAGGTTCAGCACAGATGTAACCACTGTCATTAGAGCTCTGTTATTAGATCAGACTCTGCCCAAGACCTTTTTTTTTCGATAGATATAATGACCGCTGTTGTTGTACCCAACACTGGTAGAAATATCAATAAAAGTGCACAGTGACTTTCCGAACAGCCTGTACGCAAAACGGTTTCCTTACCCTGCCAAAGTGATGCCACATCAGATAGTCCAGCACGCCCTGAGTCATGCCTTGTGATCTCAGGTGACGAACGTTCATCTTCTGGTAAGCCCACTCGATCCAACCTGACTGGGTGGACACGCAGTTTATCAAGCACAGAGCGTTGACCTTTTCCGGGTGGGTAAGTGCGAATCTGGCTAGTATGTTAGCTCCGGCGCCGACTCCGAAACCGATTACGGACTTCAGGCCAAAATGACCCAAGACGAAGAGCAGCTGCTCTGCCAATTCGTCCATGGACGGATAAATGTAGCTAGAATCGTAGTATATCGATATAAACAACCTTAGACGGCCGATATTGACGTTGTAATGAATTTTCTGTGATTAACCATCCTACTGCTTTCAAGTTTTTTTGGACCTAGGTTTTATCCTTTCAACCCTGCTATGACTCTCTAGCTTCTTTTGGCGCGACTGTGTTTTGTTTTCGTTAAAGTCCACTCTAAATTTAGATGAATATTATACAATTTTTGGTAACGTGTGTCTCATAAATGTATAGGTGAACCGGAGAGCCGTAGCAAGGTTGATATTAGTCGTCTTGATCATGGATGACACACGGTCATTTCTTTTTATTTTTTTGGCACCCCATGGTCTAACGAACACTGAGTTCTAGGAACATGTTTTTAATTTCTGCATATCTGTGGATATCTTTACATAAAGTATAATAAGGAAGTACATCTATCTCAAGATACATGGAAGCTTTTGTACTTCTAAAGCCCGAGCAAAATGTTTTGTACAAAACTTTTTATAGAGATAAAGAGACCCGAAATATGTTTTCAGGGATAAGAATGTATACCAATATTCTGTACATAACATTATTATTAGTGCCATCCTGGACTGCTTTTAGATCTTCCAGTGCTTTAAAGATACAGTTTTTAAAAGATTCCAGTTGGTACCTTGAATGTGTATCCAATTAAATTTCCTTTATAGAATAAACAAATACCAGACAAGACTGAATAAAAGGCAATGAATCTGACATTGCAATGTATACATAGAGTAGTTATTTAAATAAATATAGCGACTTGTAATATACACTCTTCATTACCGATTATTTTGTAAGACAAATAGAAATTATTTTGGTTTTCTGAGGCAGAACAAATTCATGGTACTTTGAACTAGAAATCCGTAACATAGACTCGATAATTGACAATTAACATTCATGTTCTCAATATTTTATATTAATACATAAATTGAATTATTCTTTCGATTGTTAATTGTAATTTCACGATCCACTGTTTAACAAATCTCACTACAATTTTTTCTAGAGCTTCCTCCATAATCGATAAAACCGTGAGAGCTTGAAGTATCACCGACGTTATCGATCCGTCGCTAATGCATTCGAATACGTACTCAACATGAAATTTTACGGATTTGGCACGCGAACGAAAATGGTTTCGTACGCTCGTTCCAATGAAAATCTGCATTGCAGTCTAAATTATTCTGTAACACGCTGTTTAGGTACGTGTGCGTCCGTCGAGGTTGAACCTCGATTGTTTGAGGTCAGCTTAATCGGATGTCGTAGGTAGGCACCGTCAATCTTCTAATTCAACGCCGTAAACGTTCCACAACCATTGCGTCACAGTATTTTTCACTTAACCATACGCGTTGTCGAACGCAAATACATTAATTGCTTTACGTAATTAACACCAGAATTATCGAACCCGTCAAAATGACAGATTTCAGATTTTTTGCTTTACAATTACTGAAATCCTAAAGATACTTTCATCGGAATTTATGTTAACCTTTAATTTATTACACACTTTAGTATATACAGGGTGTAACAAAAATGTTGTCCGACCCGGAAATAGGGCACTCGGGGAGTGAATTGGAACAGGTTTTTCTTTAGCAACAATGTAACCTGAGGCTTCGTTACCGAGACATTAATGAAAAACTCCAACCAATCAGAGCGCGAGTTTGCCAGCCTAGTTCCCGCGGTAGCGTTGGCTACAAATCGCAGCACGTAGCCACCGCTAGCGCGGGAACTCGGCTGGCAAACTGGCGCTCTGATTGGTCGGGATTTTTCGTTAATATCTCGGTACCGAAGCCTCAGATTACATTGTTGCTAAGGAAAAACTTGTTCCAATTCACCCCCCGAGTGCCCCATTTCCGGGTCGGACAACATTTTTGTTACACCCTGTATATGTAATAGTTAGCATACATTCAACGTTGATAGTTCTAGTGTTAAACCAACGCACGTTTTCGACTTGTCTTCGACTACGTCTGATATATTTAATTGAAATAAGGTTTTCTGCATGAAACATGTATACAACAAGCTATGTACATATATCATTCTTCGAATAAACAGAATATTTTTCTACTCTAGAACCATGTTCGTAAAATGTTGACATTACATTTGTAAATCAGATGTAAAAATTTCAGCTTTATTTTCCTGTGTAACAATCAAGGTTCTATTGTACTTCATTAAAACTTCTAGACCAAACAATTTATACCTATTATAATATTTAAACTACACACGACAACTTTGTGTACACTGATTATTAATAATTATTTCTATACATAACCATATGACAAAGAAACGATCTGATTACCGAAGGCGTTATTATTTGACCAGATCACAGTTCACAGGTTAAAATTACTAACTCCACTTGTTGAATTATTTTACATTTTAGCGCCAAACCACTTGCTTAGCGCTTAACCTTTTACATTTAAAATACATTTCCTTTATAATTTTTCAGATTTAATCACTTCGGCAAACGAACTGCTAGTTTCGTTTCTTTTTCTCGAGGAAAAAACGTATCGATCGAGGACAATTGAAAGGGGGGCTCGGAACGATCACACTCGATGTACAATTTCGTGATTTCGTGGATGATTGAATATTGGAAAGGCCAATTGCGCAACCGGCCGATAAGATCGAACCCGTACGAGTGCAAACGGCGATAGAGACAAAGCGCAAGGGAAGAACTCGCGGCGCGAGCACCAGCGAAGAGGAATAACTCGCTTTAAGACGCGCCGGAATTATCCGCGGTAAAAGCGGGACGTACGTCGGGGGCTTCGACTAATTAGAATGTTAATTGGGTCATTGATTCGCACTAATTGAATTCGCTGTCGCTGGGTGACGCGTGTGCACAGTGTTCTTGAACGAGATCTAAATACGCGTGTTCTCGTATGGGATCTTCTAATTAATCGATTCCCATCGTCTCTAAACGGTGATTAGTCTATTCGTTGTTGGTATTACAAGGAATTAGTGTAATCAGACGACGGAAGTGATCGTTTCGCGATGTAAAGTCATCTTTGATTGAATTCTCTAATCCTAGCGCATTCATTTCTTTGAATTTGGAATTAGCAATGGAAGTTGAATTTGCATTATGAGTTTTAATGTTTGTTACTTTTTATCGTCCTTCAATGAAAATTAAATATTAAGCTTAGGATTTTGTCATGATGGTAGTCGAATTTTTGTAAATTGCATTTGTAACCTTTTTATTATAACAGATAATAAGATATATTATTATAATAGATAGGCTTATTTTGATCGCCTTGTGGAAATTTCTGATTGAAAAAAAAGAATTATGTGACAAATTATGCCACACGTTCGAGTAATTATTATTATTATACTAGTAACAAGTGGTTAAAAAGATTTATAATTGGAAGGTGTACTTACTCCTCTGGAAGAGTCGATGCACCCTCCTCTTGACCTGGCGCGTTCACATGATAGACGCAAAAGTTCTCGAGTAAAACACGCATGTCGATGTAATTGAAGAATGCCTGGAAGCTCGATATATCTGAGAACACCATTATCAATGCAATTTCTTCAGAAACGTACTTTAGGTCATCGACAACTTATTAACTTATTAATTGCGACCACATTGCCGTAACTAGACTGCGCACGTTTATGCAAATTCAGATATTTATGAAGTACTTTATAGAAACTGAAGTCAAATATATTTATATTTATATTATTAAGGATTCTATCAGGTGCCTGGGAATATGAAAACTTTATTACTATTTATTAAACTCTTTAATGCGCTGGGTTCTAAGTATGTGATAAATTCATAAAATCCATAGTCTTCTCATAACAATACTATTTCACATCGCCTTTGTTAAATATTTCAAATTTATAATGTTAAATTTCCCGGAAATGCCACACAATTGTTGTGATTGTTGTAAAATATTGTCACTGTTCAAGCGATTATACGTATGTTTCCATATTTCAGTAAGGAACGTTGAATTAACTTCAATAATAAAATGTTCCTGTAATAGTTGACTTTGATGTCACTATAAACGTAACAGAGATGGAACACGGTACTTAAAAAATCACAGTTAACCACCGCATAAGCTGTTAGTAATAAGTAGACTGCGAATATTCATGCAAATATACACTTTTGTGGAATAGTTTACGGAAATTGGAATCCAAAAAGAACATGTTTTCATTATTAAATGTTTTGTAAAGTTCTATGTAAAAAACTTTTTAATTCTTGTTGCACATCTTACTGTACTGAATCTCAGATAATCGTAAGTACTATAAATGCATAAAATTCGCAGTCCAAAAATAAGGTTAGAGTTACTCACAATTAAGGCCTAAGTCGTGATAAGTGAGAATGGCAGGTTTCGCCCGGTTCCCTTGGACAGCGACCATGAGACTTCCCTTGTCGGTCTCCACCCTCTCCTCCCGTACAGAACTGTCATCCCTCGACAGGTATCGCAGCGCGGGGAATTGGAGCTGAATATTTTTCAGTTCGATGTCATCCATACTATCTGAAGGCATCGTGCTGCGCATCGAAAGAAATTTCGTAATTAATCCGACTGTGATGAATCGGTCAACGTCCTCTTAACACGTATGCAAACGGGTATAACTAATAAGAGTTGTTTCGGACGAGACACTTGGTGTCGCGTGAGTCGACGATTACGGGACATATTCACGTATTTTTCATCTTTGGAAATTGTCGATAGGGGATTGATGATCGAAGATATGTGAAGGTGTCCCCGAAATGTTGCAGCATGACACCGAGTGTTTCGTGTGAACCGGCTCCAACTTTCCAAGGCCTGCCGAGTCAGATGAGATTTATTGGGCTAGTATTCATTTAACGACATTGATTAGAAAATGCAGCGAGTTTTACAAAAAAATTTCGTAATGGATGGATCAACCGAAAGCGTAGTGGTTTTATATGTGAAAAGTAAGATTCTGTTTTGAGAAATAAGATTTAGATAATCATCTAGTTGCGCAGTCAAAATTAGTCAATTTGATTTGGATAGTAGTGATTCCAGATATGGAAAAATAAGATTCTATTTTTAAAAAATAATGAGATTTGAATAGCCATCTAGTTACATAGACGTCATATTTAGTAAAGTTTGATTTGAGTAGCGGTTACCAAGGAACGTAGCAAATTTACTGAGGATCCTTATGCAATGCCACGTTTTTTTAACCATTCGCAATATAACAAACATTAAACAGAAAGTTAGCTTTCGCCTTAAAAATCTTATTGAATTAAATATAACTGAAAGTTTTTATTAAACTTTCGTTGTATGTTATATCTTATGACCTGTCGCACACTGCAGATCTCAAAGTCGATTTTCTCTACACATTATTTTCTGCTCAATCATTCTTTCATGAAGGATCGTTATCTATCGTCTTACAAGTATTACGATATTTTCTATACGTAGCAGTTGTTTTTGTTAAAAACTTATTGTGAATTTTCTTTACTTCGAGTTACTTTAGAATGTGTTACAATATATTAGTGGAAGAACAAGTTACGTATATAACATCACGGGACTAATATTTTATGAGAAAGTGTCAGAATCGTTTGGAACGCAGTGATCAATAGATCGCGCAAAATTGAGAACAGTTCAGTTCGATCAGTCCAGAAAACTTAGTACATACTTTTACTACAACTTTTACTAGGGCGTCTGTAGAAAAGTGTATTGTGGAAAAATTACATATTCGAAATCAATACATATTCGTTTTCTTCTTCTCATTGATATACTTATGTTATACAAGAACTTAGTATGCCTTCTGGTGAAGTTTTTTCTATCTTACGCTGAAGTGAAATCCAATTTACTATTTCTCAACCGAATTTAGTTTTTCCATTAATTAATATTTAGGGGAGTTTCATTAAGTTTTCACTGTGAACTTTTGTGCAAGTTTTTATATAATATATTACTTCACTTAAAAGACAATTAACCAAAGATCATGTTAAATTAAAATAAATTAAGAGTTGCATTGAAGTTTCTCAATTCTTCCATTTTACTTATATTTTTTCGTAATTAAATGTGCCATAAATGTATGAAATTCAGTGTCTAATTAAGACAATATTTGTAAAGAGAAATTACAGAAAGTAATGTAATTATATACAAATGTTCTATATTTTTAACACGGAATCTCTGAAGAAAGTAAATCTCTATGGTGAAAAGAATCACTAAAGCATAAGACGTTACACCTTCTCGTTTCTTTTCGTTTCATTCAGACTACAAGCGGAGTTGTATCATCAAACATTTGCTACTTCAATGGCGGAGTATCAAATGTGCCAAGCCGATGCTTTCAGTAAGTTTGAATGGTAGGAGATTCAGATTTCATTTTCCCCGAGATCTCCCAAACAAGTTTTCTGGTTACCCTATTATATAGTATTAATTGATGTCATATTTCTATTTCGTAAATCAGGATACATATTTATTATTAACGAAATATTTATATCTCTTAAAAAATGTATAGTTACATACTATGTTCTCGCAGAGGAATGAAAAGTTACCACCTGTAATGTGGAAATGAAAGAAAAAATGTTCAAGAGGCTATCATATAGTTGTGACGATTTTCTTGCAGAACAACTATCTATTATTCCAAAAATTTTACCATTGCTTTCATAGTTTTGGAAACACTAATGGTATTAATTGCTATTGGTCAACCCTGATGTGTATGTTAATTGGAACAGATTATTGTTCTACTTTCTAGCAATATGTATATAAGCGAGAACCTAAATTAACAATAAAAAAAATCAAGTTACGTCACAATGTGTTTTCAGTAAGAATAATTAATAATCTATAATTTTGCTAAGTTTTAAATTTTAAATCCTGTTACTTATAGATCACGACATTACTTTCGTAGTCCACGTTCTCATTAGTCCCATATCGGGTAACATTGTAACGCGCTGGAATGATGTGCGATTATTCGATGCTGGGTGATCCATATTCATTCGCCCTATGAGCACTCGACGATCATACAAGTGTATTAGTCTTGTAAAATTCATCTGCGTTTAATTGATGGAGCAATTAACCCGAATACATCGAAAACGAATCTCTGTACGACGAAAAACAACCTCTACGATATTGCGATGTACTTTGCATCATAACATGTTCCTGATGAAGGATCGAATCTGCTATTCATAGAGTACACTCTATTAGCGCTCACGAAAGCAAACGAGTGTCGTAAACAAATTTCTTCATTTTTATGATTTACATCGCTTGAATTTGTTGTAAGTCATGAGAAAATATATGTTTCGCACATATATCCTCATTTGCCTTGCATGATCTTTACAGAGTTCTCCCCGTATGAAATACCTTAATGTATTGTATTACAAGTTCTTTTTGTGAATGAAGACCATTGTATTTGTTTCTCTGTAGTTCATATTTAACGCATTGAAAAAGAAAACGGTTGATTCAAGTATCCTTATTACACTTTGAGTATTCTATTTTTAATCGTGTCATTACCCTTTATTTTCTATACAGGGTGTCCCAAAATAGTTGTAAGTCTTCGAAAGGGTTGATTCCTGAGGTGATTTAAAACAACTTTTTCCTTAGCGAAAAAGTTCTTCGAGGCTTTGTTAACGAAATATTAACGCAAAACCCCGACCAATCGGAGCATGAGTCTGCCGGCTGAGAGACTGCGATAACGGGGACTACGCGCCACTGCGGGAGATCAGCCGGCAGGTTCGAGCTCTGATTGGTCGGGGTTTCTCGTTAGGATCTCGTTAACAAAGCATCGAAGAAGTTTTTCGCTGAGGAAAAAGTTGTTTCAAATCACCCTAGTAATCATCCCTTTCAAGAACTTACACCTATTTTGGGACACCCTGTATAATCCATCGTAGGGTATTGGTTGTAGAAGTTTTGCATTGTGTTATGGCTTTTGATTCAATGTTGGTTGTCTCTTTTGATTAGATTGGCAAGACAACTTTGGCAACTCAAAAATTCTGATCTTTTGAAATTTTGCGGATTGTACGAGAGACCTCGATCGAAGCAACAGGCAATTTTTTTCCCTTGGTTTTTCATGGTGAAGCACCCCTTAAATGTTACTGTGTCTTTCACCGATTTCGTATATATATATCTCTCGAAAAATATAATATATATGAAAAAATTGTTAGAACCAAAATGTCAAAATATGTTCTACATATTTATTTATTTTTTTAAATAACAATTTTGTAAGAATTCATTGCACAGTTTGATAGATTATAAAAAGCCATTAAATTTACATTCCAACCATTTTTTTATATCCACTGTAGTTTTCAAGATATACATATAGGAAAATAGGAGAACACACATTAATTATTAAGGGACGCTTTCTCCCCGAAGAATCAAAAAGTAGCAAAAAATAAATGTTGCCTGATGTTTTTATTCAGGTTCCGTACAAACCTGCAAAGTTTAAAACAAAATCGGATTTTTCGGGTTATTACCGAAGTTTCCACGTGAGTCACGTTTAGTCAACCGATACCTGGTCACGTCTTCAAAGTCGTTCGGCCGCGCGGGAAAGGGTGGCCGGAAGGGTGTAGCCCGACGTGGGCGGTCACGGAAGATGTGGGAAAATTGACATGAAACTCGCAGAAACGCTTAACGTTCGTACGTATATATATATACGTGGAGTTGCGCGTTTTATTACGGAAACGTGGACGTGCGGTGAACTTTTTATGGTATCGATCCTGAAGACCACGCCCTGGCGAGCGTCGCGGGACTGGGTGGATCGCGGGCGCGTTCCCCGAAGGTGGCTCGTGTCGCCGAGCCTGTGCGCCACGTGCTTTCATTCTGATTTGTGTGCGCAATTTTCCTTTGACGCCTGCATTCTTATTCAGCTTTATGAGCAGCTCCGTTCTTCTTCATTAAAGTCCCCCGTGACGTACAGAAGTGCATCACGCCTCCCCCGGCGAAATGGCCGTTTAACACCTTGTTAAGTGCATACTCTGACTATACGTGGCACTGTGCCATACAATTTTGATTTGAATATTTGTAACCGAGTAATTACTTGTATTTTTCGATCTTAGTTTAAATAAGTAAAAAGACACTATTTTTTTTTTTAAATCTTCGCGAGGTAGAATATGGTTATAGAAACCATACGGTTATATGTATAATGTAAATTTTTGTGTACTTTGCCATGTTTTGTTGGAGATGACAAAATTGGCCTACGGGACCGGAAGTTTAACTCGAGGCCTTTCGCTTTCCGGGCGACTGTTTTGACAAACTAAGCTTCTTGGGCTATCGATGATTCTTCTTCTCTTATTTCGTATAACCATCAATCGACTATTCATTTATCACCAATACATTACAGTAGATTTTGTGTTATACGGAACCAGAGCACAAAAAGTTCAAACTAAATAAAAAAGTTTTTTTTTTTAATATACCAGAAAATAGTATGCATTTTATTTCATTTTAGAACAATAAAACCGTCAAGTTTTTTCATTATATGAACAGAATTAATTTAATCGCGTCATACGGGGTACAGTAGTACTATTTTTAGTTCGTACTATTTTAGTATCGGGTTATACGGGGTCCTACTGTATATTAACACTTTGAT